ACCTTCCAAGTGGCTGCATTGCGCCTGAAATAAGCAAATGTCCGTGTAAACCAGCTATAAATTTCATTGAGTGTTAACTGCCTGTCACTTGATTCCATGATAGCCTGAAATGAGACAAGATACAGACTGATACAAAATAATGGTTTCTTAACAAGCTTAGACAGTATTCCGTTCTCTAGCAAGCCTTCACATGTTCTAATGTAATCAGCAAAAGTTTTATTTTCTTTCACCTTACCTGCCTTATGAGAGTTGCATACGTAAACGGAGGTCTGACATCTGCATTTTTATAAAACTCATAGTTTGGGGCAATTTCTGTTTAAAAAATGGAAACGTGTTGTTATTGGTGTGAACAGGAACAATCCAGGGCACTGATAAAAAGGGTTAGCTGCACTTCAGAACATTTGTGAAATATTTGCATTGATATTAGCATTCACTACCAAGGTCAGGCCATTTTTAATGTATTAATCAGAGTATATTCTTATGTGACGTGGCATGTTTCATATCCTTCATTCCAGCCCTACCACAGTCATGAAATAACAGCTATTTAAAAATCAGTCAGAAAACTCTATAACCACTTTCCTTCAAAGATTATTGATAAACCAGCAAACTCTCCTCTGAAGTCATATATAGATGTTCAGATACTAAGCATGATTTTATATATTAAAGAAAATAAAGCATCTCTTGGACTTCCCAGATCTTGTTCTCTAAATGCCTCTATGGATGTTTAAGATACTTAAACACTTACCTGATGACATGGGAATGTTGTATTTATCTGAATGTCGCCTTCGAATGGCTCCCACACTGGGTATGCTGGCAGGGGTGATGACTGAGGGTCCCTGGGTAATTGGAGTAATTGGGGCTGTTGGAGTAGTAGGTGTTTGAGGTAAACTCTGAGGAGATGTTTCCAATATGTTCTTTGACATGGTGACAGTGGACACCAGATTTAACTACAGAAAAGAAGCCAGAGGAAGTTACATGAAGAAGAAGAAGAAGAAAAAGCAGGGAGAAGTATTTAAATGGTTTGACAGATGAGAAAAGAATTTTCTACGGCTATGTAGCCACTAATAAGCTGCAAAAGGAAGAAGCCAAGCTCAGCTAATTACAGGATGAAACTGCATAATAAAAACTATAATTAAGGGATGCTCTAATCTGCAGTAATGTCAGGACGATTCTGCTAGTCCTACTGGACTTGGCTCAACAGCCTACCCCTACAGTCTCCTGTAGTTTATTACTGACAGGCTCTTTTGCAGGGCAGGCTGATCCCTGGTTGATGCCCCAGGATGAGAACCCAGAAGTGTTTTTGCTTTTGGCCAAAGTGTCTCAAAATAAGTTCCTATTGTGATGCTGCTGGATTTCCTTTCTTCAGTCCCAAATCTCAGCTGAGAGGCTCCAGCCAGCTGGAAAATTTTACACTGACCTTTAGTCTCCTTGCTAATTTGGTGGAATGGTAATGACATTACTACATATTCAAACAAAATTGTCTTAATTGCAAATTAGCCAGAGGAGGCTGAAAATTTTCAAATTAAATCTGATTGGAGATGGAGAGAGGGAAATGGAATTTCTTCACTAACAATCATTTGTGGCATGTGTTAACAAATATAATGAAATGTCAAGTTTGCCAATTCCTCTGGAAGTATCATTTTCAATTTATGATTACAGTGTCACTTATGGTTGATGTACCCTAGAAAGAGGATGTCAGAATGGGGAGAAAAAAAGGAAGGTGAAAATATATGCAAGCTGTTTAACAGTGTGCCCTTCATTACACCCCCAGCAAGAAAAGCCTTGCTACTCATTATCAAAAATGCATATTAACTCTGTCATATTTACCATACATCTTTTGTCATAAATAGCATCCAATTAGCAAAATGGATAATCATGGCAGTAACCCCCCCCCCCCCCCCCCGCAAAAAAAAATTCTGCCTTATCCTTGGTTGATTCCAATCAAAGCTACAATGATTTTATACAGTATCTTTCAATATGCAGAACTTAAACATGGCTTATTGAAATTATAGAAAGAGCACTATCTATCAGGATATTATGCATTATCTAGCACTAAAATGAATAGAAATTGGGCAGTAAGTGTGCCTTGATTGACTAAACAGAGCTGACTTGGTTTTTATTCCTAATCTAGTAACACCTGCTTTTCAGGACCCAAATACACTTAAGGTAGACTGCTTTTCAATGGCATGCAGCATTGATTGATCTTTCTTTGTGGATTTGTTTTACACATCTAGTCAGTAGAGAGATTTGTTAGGGAAACAAAAATTAACATATGCCAGCTAATTGTTTGGCTTTCTTGGGCAGCAGCCAGCAAAAGAGCATTAGCAGTATAATAATAACGACTGGTGCCCTCAAGGCATCCCCGAGTGCATCTGTTCCTTATAAGTCACAAACTGTTTTTCTTTGTTAAGTACATATGGGGTAGAGGGAAGGAGTAAAATATAATGATTTTGCTCAATGCTGTCTTCTATACAGTGATGAAATGCCCAAGAGGTACAAAAGTATCTTTGATTTTGTGTAAGTTATAAATTGAAGCAATATCAATTGTTCTTGCTACTACATATCAAAGTAGTAGTATACTACATATACCACTACAAATTCTCAACTGACATGTCAATACTATATTTTATTTCATTTATCACACACACACACACACACACACACACTTTAAATTGATATCCCACTATTTCCCACCCTAAAAATTTTTATCACAATGAAAATAAAATAAAGTTCTATGGGAAGATTGTACATGCTGCTACCCTATTGATAAAGCACAGACAGATTTGAAATGCTAGGGCTAGTATGTATGGTCAACCTCTATGTTTACAGTGTTATGGTAAGTTATTCTTCTATGGAAGCAATAATAAGCATGACATGTTTGTAGGCATGGAATCGTGAGCTGATAAAATAGAATTTATTATTAACTAAAGAAAAGCATGTAAAATGTAGGATGATCACTTAGCCACATCAGCTCATCTGAATATTTTCAAGGTTGGGTGAAACTTATTATTCAGGACTCGCAGCCATGATAACTTTGATTTTCATCCATCCATAGCATGGCCAAAAGGTACCATTTAATGAAGTACCATTCAGAGAGTAAATGGGGTCATATAATACACACTCCGGTTGCACCTTGTGTTCATGTACTGATAGCTGTTAAGGGTGTAGTGATGAACCAACAGAGCTCATTTTTTCTTGGTAATAAATTCATGCTATTAATAGTTATCAAATGTGTGGGCCGTCTTAACTGAATCACTGCACATGAGACCATAATTCTCTACTATCATATCAATTTCGAAGCTTCTTTTGTACAGTGTACATTTTAGGATTTTTTTGGTGGTATTTACCACTCTTCTCTCAAATCAATTTGAAGACAGTATTAGCTCACAACTTCAGATATCTTTAGTTCCAAAAGGAACTTTAAACTGTGCTTTCACTTTAAATTGCTAATCTAAGATTCTGTACTAATTGCCCACCATCAAACGCAATTAGCAATTCTTTCATGTGTGGTTTATGTAATGTAATACTTCAATTACATTATTCATTCAGGTTCTGTTTTGGATTATAGGCTGAAAATTCTTTATTAGTGTAGATGTAACCATGCTGCTGGAGCTTTAAAAAAATTACTGATTGAATAATTAATTGGAAAAGAACAAGCTGCAGATTTCTGATGGATTTATGAGACAATTACTCTGTCATGTGAATATCTAACTTACACTATAGAAACAGTAGAAAAATAACTTGATTGTAATGAGACAGTCAAAACAGTAAATATGGGATAGTTCTAAAATTTGTAATGAATTCACTCATTGACATTAAAATAATTATATGACGCAAAAATATTTTCCACACATTTTCTACACTATTAAGAAATATTTGGGAGCCAAGCGAAGATACTAAAAACTAACAAAAACAATCCTTTGGAAAAAAATGAAAAAGTGGACATATTTAGTACTATAGTGCAAACGTATACTTAAGGCAATAAACAGTCAATTATGGAAAACAACACAAATGTTGAAGACTCACATACATACAATATATAAAAATGCTACCAATCACCAAAAACCCAAAGGGTCCATCAAGTTATAAATCACAGTTTGGGGGGTGAAAAAGTCCAAAGAATCACTCTATGGCAGAAGATAGATGAAGAAAATGTTAATTCTGATTATTGATGGTGGTCCTGATTTCTGTTCTTCATATCTGATAATTTTAAGAATATGCTTTGAAACTAAGTGTTTGAAATGTGCAGGTTTTTTGGGGAAATTACAAACATGGCTCTTCCATTGTTTTAAGGAATTTTTAGGAGGCTGTGATGTACAGGAATGTTTTTGTAATTGTATGCTGTTTTTCTCTATTTTTTTTTTCAAAGATTATTTGCTACATAGAACCTTGAATCATGGAAGTGACATCTTTTTTGCAGACCAGAAATGGACAAAGTATTCCAAAGTTGTCTCATTAGAATTAATTTTTATCAAATTATAGGAAGCAAGCTGTGTAGCCTGACATATATCGCGATGTATATATAACTTGCAAATATATTTTAGAAGGCTATTGAAAAAGACTCCATATTTTAATCCATTATTAGTTCTAATTCAGAAACAGGTAGTGATATATCAGTAACTCACACCTTTATCAAAAGTGGAATAGATACCTACTGTGACATTGCTGATATCAGATGAACAATTTGCTTCTCTCCATCGACAAAAATATTACAAAACGCAATGTCTTTTCTGATGGATATTTTAAATGACAGGGATAAGCTAGAGCATCAACCCATGTACTTATATAGCCTTGTGTTAGGCTGCTATTCTAACTTTTTCTTTACTACTTCTGTGTCAGCTGAACTTCAGGTCTTTCAAAACAGCTTTCTTTTTAATATTGGTGAGTCTATTTCAAAAATGATATTCTTTCTAGCTTCAGCAGAAAGTGAGTGATTTGTGCACTTACAGGTGTGCTTGTTTAGTGTCCCCTATGGCACATATTGGACAGATTTTGTAAAAGATAGCATTACTTTTAAAGAAACATGCAATTTGACAAGCGATTGCATTTTATCTTCATTTTATTGCCATATTTTTCATCACACTTATTGTTTTCCAACTGTCAGTAAATTGCTCATTTTCTTAGTCTATTACATTTGTAGACCTATTTACTGTTTATAAAGCAATATGCACTTACAGGTTTTGGAGATGGCTTGGGCTCTGAAGGTCGCATGTGCAAGTGGGTCATCATTGCCTGAAGACGTTCGCGTTCTTTAGAAAGCTGTTAAAGAAAGAGTAAGATCAGAAGCGTTTTAGAAATGACTAATAACAGCTATTTTGTTTCATGTGATACATCTTTTCTTGGAGACTGCTATGGAGTAATGTTCCTGCATATCAAAGCCTCTATGGTCAATGAAAACTTTTATAGAAAGGGGACTTGGATTTTCAGGAGTGGAGGGAGAGAAAGAAAGAAGAAAGCTGTATAGCTTTTGCCATGTTTAAAAGGTCAGAGAAAACAAATAATACTTCATCTTTTTGTCAATAAGAGAATTGAGGTCATTACAGACTCAACAGTAGCAAGTTATTAGGTCTGTAAATTAGGTGGCCCACAGTGTCTCTGTACAGTCCTATGGACACTATTAGCAATGGGCTAGCGCCAACAGCTGTGAAGAGGTGAAGGGTCCTCATAGCATGGTGCCTGCCAGGACTGTCTATACTTTTCATCCATTCCCATGAGGTTCAGTTAGTGCCCCCTGCAATCTACCATAATCAATCTAATTCAATAGAGTGACAGGGACTAGGCAGTGTGAAATGTTGAACTCTGCCACTAAACTGACATCAACAATGTTCTAGGTCTCATTACAACATATGGACCTTACTTTTTTACAGTCATACAAAAGAGATGGGAGGGAAAAACTCATAATTGGTCATCCTGAAAGCAGAAACGTCCATTGAGACTTTTATATCACAACATAATATTTGTAAATGTAAATTGCACCTCAAAAAAACATACAAACACACACACACACCCTGAGGATTTGGTTGGGTAAATAAAGCAAAGTCCCCGTATATAAAATGAAAGAGGATGACACTACAATTATTTCATTTCCCACTGTTTAATTTTCAGGCAAAAAGAAAAAGAAAAAATAATCCAAACCATGCATGTTTTAGAAACAAAACAAAAACCCACAGCCCCAAATCTATACAACCCATGCTTGTATTATATGAGACTTTTCCATTGAATGACAGCTATCACTTTTGCAGAATGACCATAAAATGTAAAATGGTAACAGTAAAACACTTTAGGGCTATAAAGGAAGACATCCTTTAAATAGATTACAGTTTAATTGGTCTGTGCTAAAAAGAATATTAAATATAATTCTGCTAGAGCTTATTTTGGTCCAAAGCATATTTTTTATATGGACTAAACATGTGATTCCCAAATTTAAGTCTTTATTATTTTATTGGATCCTGTTAACTATCATGTGCCTTATGTCTGGTGGCGTTCTCTCCAACTATACTAAATGAAAAATTTCTCGTAATTTGTCTTTCCATTCCTCAACCAATCTCCCGAATTATTGAATCTATATGTAAAAGTATGATTCTGAGAGCTGATTTACATTAGCCATTTTAGGAATGATAATGTTGGGGTGATGGTGGTTTAGAAAGCATCTACACTATTCTTAGATGGCCAAAAGTACATTATACTAAGATAAAATCAAAGCCATTATGTGAATTAGGAGCAAAATTTCTGGAGTCTAAAAATATGACCTTATGAATCTCTAAACACATATTTTCATAACTACAATATATGGCATGATGAAGCAGCTTGTAGACTTGTCTACAAGGTCTTAAGAATTTTGATCATCACTAGAATGTACAGATAGTACAGAGAAATTTTAAAATTGAATGTTTAGTTTCAGATGGGTGATGTTATTGGCATATATTTATGATGTTATGTTTATGAACTGTTGCTTTAAAAGGTAGTTGAGCATTTATATGAATACAAATGATATAGAAAATAAGTTAATCCAGTCTTGACTTGTCACTTACAGATATCCCATTTCCTAAAGGCACAATTATCAATAAAGGTTAAAAAAATGATAGTTAAAAATATTTTTAACATAAATGAAATCATTCCTCATAAGTGCTTATTTAGAAAAAAACACTCCCTGAATTCAGTAGCTCTTTTCTGAGTAGATGTTTAAATTGCATTGCTTAGGATAGTTAATTAGTATTTAATTTAATTTATTTCAAAACATACATGTAGATATTAAAACATGTTCATAAATGTATACATAATTCCATAAGAAATTAAGACAATTTTCTCAAGGAAAAATATATTTAGAATATGGATATATTTTCAAACCTGTATTTCTAATTGTTGGACCACCTGCATTTGCACCCGACACTGAGCAGTGCTTCGGTCATCCAATGCATGTTCATTATTAAGGTGCCTAGTAAAAGAAGAAATAATTAAAATAATTAGAACTTTAGGTAGAAGTTGATAACCTTCTCAATCCTACTGCTTCTCTTTCTCTCTGTGTATGTTCTGTAAACACAATTCTTATGTCAGAAAACAAGTTACTGAAACCCAGTTTAAATCTAAACTGCTGTAACAGGCATAATATAACTACCTTGCAAGAAACTTCACTATTTTCCCTAATGGAATTCACTGCAAAGTAGTTTGGAAAATGCAACTGAGCAGTCTTGGTCCTGGCTATAAGATATGATCAGAGACACAAGAAAATGGTGCACAAAGGTACAATGACAAAGGAAACAAATTTAACACTTATTTTATAAAAGAGCTAGTTCATGGGATATGTATAATAGGAGTAAAGTAACATCACATGTGTTGTGATGGTACAAATGGTAATAATTATAATGGCAAATTCATATCATATATGTGACATAATGTAATTTTGACTTTTACTCAGATGCCTATATAACTTTTATCTCCCAGTTGTGAAGGGATAGACATGTCTAAACAAATATGCCTAAAAGTTTAACCACACATCTTTTTATGATTTGAGTACATTTATTAAATCTGAACTTTCCCTTCTCTGCCATATGAGAAGAGCACATTTTGGTAATAATATTTGGGTATTGTCAATGAAAACTGGTACACTTATGTCTACCTTTCAACACACATAGCCTGTGAATTTAGCAAAAATGAATTTCTGGATGAGCAATGCAAAAGACAAAGGATACAGAATTGGAAAATGGTGAAGTATAGATGAAATAATGCAAATAAAACACAAATTTGATCACTACAAATTTGTTTGGGTTAAACTTTATTAAAGGGATCACATTATGTATGACAATATATTTAGCAAGCCATTATTTACTTATTCAGGGAAAATATTCTGCTTGATAAGGCAACTTGCACTTTCTACACCTATATCTTCATATATAAGTGAAAACTTCCTAACTTCCAGTCTTAGGGAAAAAATATATATATAAGCACCTATGTTTCTTACCAAGCTTACCAAATAGTTGATTGAACAGGACATTCATTTTTAAAGAAAAGTAAGTGACCTGTTTTAATTTAATTTTAATTTTCAATATTATTTCACTTTTTAAAACAATTCTAAGCAGTATAATTGAAGGAGATATGTTGCTTCCAGAAGAACCATCTGAAAAAGAATGTATGGATGAGTTTTTTGTTTGATTACTCTTGATTTAAATGACTGATATCAAAATTACAGTAAGAAGCTGATGTATTAATTAGCTATGTGACACATCAGAGAATTCTGCTCTGCAAAGATATTTTAAAACTATCTCTATGATATATTATTGCAATTAGGTTGTAGCAGTTGGGATAGTTAATTTGATTCCAACCTCAATTATTCACCATTTCCAAATAATTATGCATTATAACTTGAATCTAATAAACAGGGAGGAGTTTTTAACTAACAATAAGTGAAAAGATGAAGTACTTGTACGGATGAGAAACTATTGCTCTAATAAGAAATATGTTTCATGCTATTGAATGTACACTGGTGGAAGACATATTGGCATTATCTCTATTTACAGGATATGATTGTAGTCAACATTCCTAAGTAACTATCAGCACTTAAATTATATAAGCATAGAATGAAAACTTTGCTATCATTGGAAGGAATGTGGAAAAAGTATGTCATGTGAACACAATGTATTACAAAGCAATGAAAAAGAAACAAAAATTACTCTATTAAATTATATCCTAATATCAGTATTTCCTTTTTTGATTTAGATTTCATAATAGCTTCTTTTATATGCTTTCAAACTCTTAATTACAATGAAATTTCTTTATGCACACATTGGTTTATAATGGTGTACTCGTTAGCAAACAATGACATAAGGCACATTGATAGCAAGCAGCCTAGGGTTTTGAATGTAGTATTAGACTTGGATAAGAAAGATGCTTATTTATTTATAAAATTTATACGATTGGCTGCCCATCTAACCACATGGTTGTATGTATGTATGTATGTGTATAAGTGCATAAGTGTATATGTATGTATGTATGTATGTATGTATGTATGTATGTATGTATATACATACATACATACACATACATACAGTACACACACACACACACACACACTCATCCCAACTGCTAAAATCCAATTACAGATTGGAAGGGCGGGCATAGGATGGGGGGAAGATGGGACCTGTTGTTAATTGATCAAACACCTTCACTGTGATGCTTTCCCATTGGAGCCCTAAGGTAACTGGCAGAGCCACAAGTTTAGGCTCTTACAGAAGGTCAGGAAGAGCTGATCTCACATTGGGGGTGTAGAGAGCAAAATGTTCTAAAAGGCAGGTACAACAACAGAGAAGGCCCTTCTCCTGCACCCTGCTAGTTGGAATAATCAGGCCAACAGGGCCTGCACTATGCCTACTCTGCTGGCATGGGTGGGTTGGGTCAATCCTAGTGGGATGAAATGGTTCCTTAAGTAGCCTGGACCAAACTAGTGAACAACCTGAATTTGTGCAAAGACTTTCCTGGCCGTGACTGCCACCTGCGCTTCAAACAGGAGTCACAAGTTCAGAAGACTTAATTTCAGGGTCTCCTGTACCCAAAGCTATTTGGTCTTGTCAGGGTTCAGTTGAAGCCTGTTGTCTCCCACAGCATCCAAATACTGTAAGACAGCAGCCACACCCTCACTTGTGTCACCAGGAGTGGAAATATGGAGTTGGGTATCATCAGCATACTGCAGATACCTCAACCCACAGCGATGGATGATCTCACCCAGCAGTTTCATGTAGATGTTAAAAAGGAGTGGAGAGCGTACCAAGTAGTATGGCATGCTACAGGATAGTGTCCAAGGGCTGGATCTCTCAACTCCTATTAACACCGATTGGAACTAGCCTTGGTGTAAGGAGCTGAACCAGAGCAAAACTATCACACAGCACTAGCTCCCATAGCAGACCCAAAAGAAAATCATGGTTGATGGTATCAAATACCGATGCACTACTCCAGGGATGTCAAACTCAGTTTCAATGAGGGACGGATCAGCATTTTGGTTGTCCTCTGGGGGCCGGGGGGAAGGGGCATGGCCAGGGAGGTTGCGGCTCACTGAGCGTGGCCTGGTTGCATGGCCAGCTTGCCATTACTCATGTGGGTGGTACCTGTGGCAAGGTTGGGGAAGGAATCCAGGGGCTTCTGGTACGTGGGGGAGTAGCTGGGAGGCTCCTCCCATGGGATGAGGTGAGGCAAGGCAGGGGACGGAGCAGCTACAGCCGGTATGTCTTCAACTGCTTTCGACATCACTCAGTTTCCCACCCCACTCTTATCAAGCTGGTCTTGTCTGGTGGGGGGATTGCCTTCTGACTTCTCCACCATGTCACAAACAGGGATTAACCACCGCCACTGTCAAAGTAAATCCCAGGTGCTGCACTGCAATGGACAGACAAAAAGTGCAGCTTTTGTTTGGAGGAGGAGGAGGAGCAGGGAGAATAAAGAGGGAAAGCAGCCGAGCGCCAGCCAAGCACTGAAGCACAGGACTGCCAGCCCTGGTATAACTCTCCGAGGTTGGATCAGATTGCTCTCTCTCACACACTCTTCTTTCTCTTTCTCTTTCTCCCTCCCTCCTTCCCCCCCATCTCTCTCTCTGTGGCAGCAGTGGTGGCATTTCAGTACCTGGTGAGTGGGTCGCTTTTCCCTCGGCCACTTTACCTCTTTCTTCTCTCCAATCCTCCTCCTCCTTCAGACAAAAGCCATGCTCTCTCGCTCTCTCACCCCACTTCATGGCTATGGCACCAGCCATTTCTCCATGGCAGCTTGCATTTAATCCATCCTCCACCACCCCACCACCTTGCTTGGTTTGCCTTCATTCTTTGATGCCTCTTCCCCTTGCTCGCCACCGTAGCGAGTGGGAGGCTGAGCAACACACTGGTGCGGTGGCCACAAAGCGAGGTAGAAGCAGGGTAGAAGATGAAATGAGGCTGTGGAAGGGTGGAAGATGAAGAGGCAAAGAGTGCGAAGCTGCCCCATGCATCAGCTTACCTCAGGTCACCCATGCCAAACCCTCTCTGCCACCCTGAAGGTAGCCACACCCCTTCACTAACCTGTTTTCCAGTTCTGTTTCCTGCCGCTGCGTGCATGGCAACAAAAGTAGTCTGTGGGACTATGGTAAAAAAAATACTTCACACCTTCCCACTTCTCACGAAAAGAAAGATCTTGTGAAGTTGGAAAATCTGAACTATTTTTTTGCATAGTCCCACAGACTATTTTATTGCGCTGCACGTGGCAGTGGCGAACTGAGCCTGTGTGCACATGTGCCTGCCTACTCCTGTGCATGTGACCACCCACTGGGATGGTGTGGGTTGGACTAGCCTTTACAATTACAAGGATGGCCGCACAGGCCAGATCTAACTTCATTGAGGGCCTTGAGTTGCACTACCCCATCCTGGTTTCATCAAATATTATTGACAAGCGCAACCAGTGCATTTCCATCCCATAATCAGGCCTGAATCCTGACTGAAAGGGGTCCAGATAATCCATTTCATCCAGAACCCTCTGAAGCTGCCAGATACCACCTTTCCACAACTTTTCCACAAAAGTGGAGGTAGAAAACTGGATGAAAGCTATTCATGTAGATAGGATCCAGTGATTTTTTTTAAGGAGGGGGCAAACTAGCTTCCAGAAATGTCCCCTCTTCTAGTGACACATTAATCACTGCCAGGACCCTCTTGCTAGTCTTCATCCTGGAGGCTTTCACCATTCAAGAGGGACAAAGAGCTAACTGAAAGGTAGTGGCACTGACAGCATCAGGGCCAATAGGATCACACAGTTACAGATAATTGGGCAAGACCTTTCCCCAGGCATCTCATATGGACTATCTCCAGAGAGATCCAACTTGGAACTTTTTAATCACTGATCATGGCACTGCAGATGATTACCCAAGCTTCACTGATCCAGGAGAGTGACCCAAAATGGCTGCTGGGTGAGAATCAGTGGTGGGTTTCAAATTTTTTTAGAACCTCTTCTGTAGATGTGGCCTGCTTTGTGGGAGTGGCTTGCTGGCCATGTGA